TAATAAAAGTCTAAGAGATTAAAATTAGATGGCGATCTCTCATCAAACAAGTTCGATTGTCCATAATGATAGCTCTATAGATTTCGAATTATTGAGATCGAGGGTGCGTTGATACGTGAACCTTGAGTGAGACTATAGACAAGACTAGAGCCTAGACTATAGACTAGACTATAGACTAGACTATAGACTAGACTATAGACTAGACTATAGACTAGACTATAGACTAGACTATAGACTAGACTATAGACTAGACTATAGACTAGACTATAGACTAGACTATAGACTAGACTAGACTAGACTAGACTATAGACTAGACTATAGACTAGACTATAGACTAGACTATAGACTAGACTATAGACTAGACTATAGACTAGACTATAGACTAGACTATAGACTAGACTATAGACTAGACTATAGACTAGACTATAGACTAGACTATAGACTAGACTATAGACTAGACTATAGACTAGACTATAGACTAGACTATAGACTAGACTAGACTAGACTATAGACTAGACTATAGACTAGACTATAGACTAGACTATAGACTAGACTATAGACTAGACTATAGACTAGACTATAGACTAGACTATAGACTAGACTATAGACTAGACTATAGACTAGACTATAGACTAGACTATAGACTAGACTATAGACTAGACTATAGACTAGACTATAGACTAGACTATAGACTAGACTATAGACTAGACTATAGACTAGACTATAGACTAGACTATAGACTAGACTATAGACTAGACTATAGACTAGACTATAGACTAGACTATAGACTAGACTATAGACTAGACTATAGACTAGACTATAGACTAGACTATAGACTAGACTATAGACTAGACTATAGACTAGACTATAGACTAGACTATAGACTAGACTATAGACTAGACTATAGACTAGACTATAGACTAGACTATAGACTAGACTATAGACTAGACTATAGACTAGACTATAGACTAGACTATAGACTAGACTATAGACTAGACTATAGACTAGACTATAGACTAGACTATAGACTAGACTATAGACTAGACTATAGACTAGACTATAGACTAGACTATAGACTAGACTATAGACTAGACTATAGACTAGACTATAGACTAGACTATAGACTAGACTATAGACTAGACTATAGACTAGACTATAGACTAGACTATAGACTAGACTATAGACTAGACTATAGACTAGACTATAGACTAGACTATAGACTAGACTATAGACTAGACTATAGACTAGACTATAGACTAGACTATAGACTAGACTATAGACTAGACTATAGACTAGACTATAGACTAGACTATAGACTAGACTATAGACTAGACTATAGGCTAGACTATAGACTAGACTATAGGCTAGTCTATATACTAAAGTACAAACGTTCATTTCAGTTCATTTCAATGAAGTCTTAAAATGCAGCGATGAATAAATGATTCTAGAAAATTAATTTCTTCTAAGTGTTAGGAAAAACTCATCAAGATTATTTCGTCCACGTAATTGTAAAAATAAACCAATAAGATTTTGTTTTCAATTCATGAGATTTTAACCAATAATAATTGAGTAAAAACTAGTACAAACCAAGTTATACCAAATTTAACAAGTCTTGTTAATAAACAAAGTACATTGTTAATTAATCTACGAAAAGCTTTTAGTAACTTTAGCTTAGATTAGCATTTCAATAATTTATAAAATTTCAAATTACAAACAAAACAGCAGTAAAGGTTCGATATCAAACAAATTAAATAAATCGTGGTTTCATAATACATAAATAATTTAACACTTAAAAAATAGTTTTAATTTTGTTTTGTTGGCGTAAACATTTATACAATATTTTTTTGAAGAAATCTGTAAATAGAAGAAATAAAAATTTCCTAACAATTTACATAAATATAAAAACTTTTCTACTAAAGTTCTTGAAAATCAAAAGGTAACAAAAGAAAAGGCAAATTGTTAACAACTGTCAACGTGACTGATGTCAAGTGTTGAAATTTCAACACTTGTTGAGCATTTTATTTAAAATGGATGGATACTCATTTATACTTGAAAAACACTAAATAAACAATTGAAAGTTTGACGTATGTACGTAATTGCAGGAGTCTTAGATGAAATAAAAGGAATAATTGTGAAGGTATGAATAGATGAAAAGTTTTATGGTCATATTCATAAATATTTAAAATACTGTTTAAGGGAGTAAAAAATGAGAGGTGTTTGTTTACTTGTTGGTAATAGGAAACCCTATTTAACTAAACACTTTTTTTACAAAAAGTTTTCATGTAACCCTTTAGTCAAATCAACTGTTGCCTTGTTTTTGTTGTTGGTGTTAATTGTTAAATTTTTTGTAATTAAGTGGCTTTAATTTATTAGTGTTAGTGTTTTTGGAATATATAATGTGTTTGTAATTTAAAGTATATTTAAATTTCGAATTCTTATATATATATAATTACAGTTATGAATAAAAAGTCATTTTACCGACTTTTTAAAATGTTGAAATAGTTGACTTTTAGAAAGTCGACAAAAACTTTTACCGAATCAGCCCTTGGTCCTTCCGTAACAAAATTATTTTCAATTTCATATCGACTTTATCTGACATCTTTCGACTTTTTTGGAGTTTTATTAACAAACTCGATTATTCAATTGTTTCCCACTTTAACTTAAAATTTATAAAATCGATTATTCGACTAATTACAGACTTTGTTCTAATAAAAAATCGACTTCGACTTTTTTCTGCAAAGAATGGCTTAATCGAAAGTCTTATAATAAAAACCTATAAGAGTGACCTCATGTATCCAATGTCATTCATTAATTGTAACGCAAGACTGGGAAACGATCAACCCCTCAATAAATATTCGAGTTTATCCATTTTTTCGAGGCCAGATAGTCGATTTATTAACCTTGTCAGAAAATACCCGACTTCAATATTTTACTTTTTTTTTTTGAAATCGAAATCCTTCGATAGTTGACTTACAGAATCTTAGAAGAGACACTCCGTTTATAGATTGAACGAATAATCGAAATTTGATTTATACATTGATTGATTCACAGGACTGGAAAAAGATCAACCCCCGTTAGCATGCTTTTCTCAAGAGATTCAAAATAGAAATTCTTTCATAGTTTAAACCGTATACAACCGTATATTCTGTAAGGGCTCTGCAACTTTGTTAGAAGTCCGCCTTTGTTAGTTAGTTAGTTAGAGTTAGGTTAGTTAGTTAGTTAGTTAGTTAGTTAGTTAGTTAGTTAGTTAGTTAGTTAGTTTAGTTAGTAGTTAGTTAGTTAGTTTAGTTAGTTAGTTAGTTAGTAGTATTAGTTAGTTAGTTAGTTTAGTTGTTGTTCGTTAGTTAGTTTAGTTGTAGTTAGTTGTTCGTTTAGTTCGTTTAGTTGTTAGTTAGTTCGTTAGTTAGTTAGTTCGTTGTTAGTTAGGTAGTTAGTTCGTTAGTTCGTTAGTTTAGTTGTTACGTTTTAGTTAGTTAGTTTCGTTAGTTCTTAGTATTAGTTCGTTCGTTCGTTTAGTTAGTCGTTGTTCGTTCGTTTGTATTGTTTATTCGTTCGTTCGTTCGTTGTTCGTTCGTTAGTTCGTTCGTTAGTTCGTTTTGTTCGTTCGTTCGTTTACGTTAGTTCGTTCGTTCGTTCGTTCGTTCGTTCGTTAGTTCGTTCGTTTCGTTCGTTCGTTCGTTCGTTCGTTCGTTCGTTCGTTCGTTCGTTCGTTCGTTCGTTCGTTCGTTCGTTCGTTCGTTCGTTCGTTCGTTCGTCGTTCGTTCGTTCGTTGTTCGTCGTTCGTTCGTTCGTTCGTTCGTTCGTTCGTTCGTTCGTTCGTTCGTTCGTTCGTTCGTTCTCGTTCGTTCGTTCGTTCGTTCGTTTTCGTTTCGTTCGTTCGTTCGTTCGTTTTCGTTTCGTTTCGTTCGTTCGTTCGTTCGTTCGTTCGTTCGTTCGTTCGTTCGTTCGTTCGTTCGTTCGTTCGTTCGTTCGTTCTTTCGTTCGTTCGTTCGTTCGTTCGTTCGTTCGTTCGTTGTTCGTTCGTTCGTTCGTTCTTTCGTTCGTTCGTTCGTTCGTTCGTTCGTTCGTTCGTTCTTTCGTTCGTCGTTCGTTCGTTCGTTCGTTCGTTCGTTCGTTCTTCGTTCGTTCGTTGTTCGTTCGTTCGTTCGTTCGTTCGTTTCGTTCGTTCGTTCGTTTTCGTTCGTTCGTTCGTTCGTTTTCGTTCGTTCGTTCGTTCGTTCGTCGTTCGTTCGTTGTTCGTTCGTTCGTTCGTTCGTTCGTTCGTTCGTTCGTTCGTTCGTTCGTTCGTTCGTTTCGTTCGTTCGTTCGTTCGTTTCGTTCGTTCGTTCGTTCGTTCGTTCGTTCGTTCGTTCGTTCGTTCGTTCGTTTCGTTCGTTCGTTCGTTCGTTCGTTCGTTCGTTCGTTCGTTCGTTCGTTCGTTCGTTCGTTCGTTCGTTCGTTCGTTCGTTCGTTTCGTTCGTTCGTTCGTTCGTTCGTTCGTTTCGTTCGTTCGTTCGTTCGTTCGTTCGTTCGTTCGTTGTTCGTTCGTTCGTTCGTTCGTTCGTTCGTTCGTTCGTTCGTTCGTTCGTTCGTTCGTTCGTTCGTTCGTTCGTTCGTTCGTTCGTTCGTTCGTTCGTTTCGTTCTTCGTTCGTTCGTTTCGTTCGTTCGTTCGTTACGTTCGTTCGTTCGTTCGTTCTTCGTTTCGTTCGTTTCGTTCGTTCGTTCTTTCGTTCTTCGTTCTTTCGTTCGTTCGTTCGTCGTTCGTTCGTTCGTTCGTTAGTTCGTTCGTTCGTTAGTTCGTCCAGTTATTCGCCCCTCCTCGGCTCACCTATTTCGAAATGTTTTCGGAGTTGTGGGAAGTGTTTCCGTGTAGTTCAATACTTCACCACTAGTTGATAATTCTAATCAATTACTCCTAAATCCCTGCAACGATAAAAGAGCCAGTAATGCGGCCATAAACCATTAAACTTGTCATAAGCATTTAATTGAAAACTGTTCCTTCTTTAACTTTCTTTTACAGATTACCAATTAAAGACAAAATGTTGTGTCATAACATGTCGTCTTTAACAATGAAACTCAAAGCTAAAAAATGTTGTTTTCAAAGACGCAATCGTCAATTTACCAACATTCTAATGCTGTCAATCATATGGACAATGTTGTTTACAGAAACTATGGCAAGACCAAATTTAGAAACACTTTTATCCAACAAACCCACAAACGATGTTGTACAAGAGGAGCAACAACAGGAGGATTTATTTCTAAATGAAATAATGACAAACACAAATGGCGAAAAATTATTTAATAAATTGGTAAATATTTTTATTTATAACAATAAAAAAATAAAGTTTAAATTGTTCTCTTTTAAAAAATAGAAAAGATATCATCACAATCAACCCAATTATTTAAACAAATGGCCGGGACTACGTGATTTGGTTTTAACTTTAGACTACAATGAGAACAATGGTCTCGAGGAGAGTAATGAATTTTTTAATACGAAATTTTTTGAACGTTTAAGGCAATTGGCTTCCTCTAATTCGGAATCATATGATGAAGATATACGTGAGGAGAATACAAATCTAATGCCTTTAAAGGGTTTAAAGACTTCAGCCTCAATGTCTGCAAATCAATTGACGTTTAAAGATCATAATATTAAGAAGAATGTGCAGTGTGAGTAGTTTTTTTTATGAATTAAGAATTTTTTATATTTTAATTAATTTTTTTAATTAAATTTTGTTTACTTTTATGTACATATATTTTTTTAAAAAATTATTCTTATTTTGGATAAACACAACTAAAAATATTACTATTATTTTGCATGGAATTTAGTTCGTAAACATTGTAAGTTTGCTAAATTATTTATATTTTGTTATTTTTTTAACTTTTATTAATTTTCTTGCTATTTTATTATCTAATTGTAATTTCCATAATGATTTTCCTATGTGTATCTCTTGACTTAATGGAACTAGTTCTTTAACTTTCCCCTAAGCATTAGTTACGTTGCTAGTTCTGCAATAGGTCACTTTAATGATTAAGCTTTCTCTTCTTTTTAAATGTTTCTCTTATCTAATCCTTTTAATTCTCATTTTACAGACATGTCACCCTGTCATTTCAAAATCTGCAATATGGGCC